ACACCTTACCCACGCGGCCATTCACAGCCCGGATGTCAATCACTGGGTCCCAGCTGGTGATTACTCGCTGGCTCTCAGTGATTGCTAAGCATGTCCTATGGGGGGAGAGACCTGTGTATAAAGAACACACATCTCTCCCCTGTCAGCTCCTGCACACTGCTTTCTATGCATAGCAGAGCCATACAAAGCAGTGTGCTTACAGTGAAACACAAACACAGCCAACATAGTGAAACAGCACACAGTTAACCCTTTGATCATCCCAGATGTTAACCCCTTCCTGCCCAGTGTCATTAGTACAGTGTCAGTGCTTATTAGCACTGATCACTGTATTGGTGTCACTGGGGATGTCAGTGACACCAAGTCAGTTTCCCCCAGTGCCAGAATGCTCGCTGCAGTCCCGCGATAAGTCGCTGATCGCCACCATTACTAGTAAAAAAAAAAATTCCAGTATCTATACCACCATTTGTAAACGTTATAACTTTCACGTAAACCAATTAATTTACATGTATTGGCAATTTTTTGTAGCAAAGACATGAAGCAGAATACATTTTGATGTAAATTTATGACGAAATTAGATTTTTACATTTTTTTTACTGGACATGTTTAACCATTTTCCGACTGCACTATAGCCAAATGACGGCTACAGCGCAGTTGTCCAGTTCTGGGAGGCTGGGAGGGTGTCATATGATGTCCTCCAAGAACGCGCCCTCCCGCATGCCCCCGGGGGGCACGCACCCCGCTATCTCCGTGAACGCTGTGTCCTACAGACACAGCTGATCACGTGATGTGGTAAAAGGCCAATCACAGCAGCCTTTTACCATATGATCAGCTATGTCCAATGACACAGCAGATCACCGGTAAATGCAGTTGCCAGTTATCGGCTGCACTTTCCTCACGCTGTCACAGCGGGAAGAAAGTACTGCCAATAACCGGCAATTGTCAGAGGACGGATTGGCACCGATCATCAGGGAACTGATGATCAGTGCCCTGACGATCAGTGCCCAGCAGTGCCGCCCACAAGTGCCCAGCAGTGTCACCCACCTCTACCCATCAGTGCCCTAAGTGTCACCCACCTGGGCCCATCAGTGCCTGGTAGTGCCACCTACCTGTGCCCAGCAGTGCCACCCACCAGTGCCCAGCAGTGCCACCCACTAGTGCTACCCATCACTGCCGCCATTCAGTGCCCAGCAGTGCCGCCAGTCAGTACCGTCCATAAGTGCTGCCCATCAGTGCCACCTATCAGTGCCACCTATCAGTGGCCATCATTGTTGCATATCAGTACAGCAGCATCAGTGCCACCTCATTAGTGTCACCAATCAGTGCTGCCTATCAGTGCAGCCTCATCAACGCACATCAGTGAAGGAGAAAAATTACCTGTTTGCAAAATTTTATAATAGAAACAAAATTTTTTGCTCTTTTTTTGTTTATAGCGCAAAAAATAAAACAGCCAACCGCGATTAAATACCAGCAAAAGAAAGCTCTATTTGTGTGAAAAAATACAACAGACTTACAGGCTGGATCACTAGATGAAAATAAAGGAAAGAGAGCCTAAGAAAGAAAACGAATGCAGCCATCACATCTAAGAATTGGTAAGCTGCAATATAATAAATGCTCGCTTTTGACTTTAGCCTTCCTAGCGGTTTTCCCGAGTCTGGCTCGGGGTTAAACGTAGTTGTCAAAAGCGGTAACCCCAAGCCGGATTCGGGTCACCGGAAAATACATACCTGATCCTGCAATCTGTGTCCTGGGTCCTGCAGCCTCCTCGAGCCATCCCCTCTGACCGTCCCGTCTCCTTCCCAGCTATCTCACGCTGATCTGTGTGATCAGCGTGAGATAGTTGCGCTGTGCCGTCGGGGGGTCGGACTTGCGGGAGGCGGGAGTTTTAAAAATAGACCTATGTAAAAATAAAGTGTTACTCTAGTGCATACATTGTAACTTTACCTCAGATACAGTATATCCATAGTGCAGTTTTTCAGTTTCTGTGACTAAAAACGGTTTTGCACTCATGGCTTCCAAAAAGCATCTCGGTAGCGCCAAAGCAGTTTATGATGAGCTAGCAAACAGCGACAGTGAGGAGTTACTTGAACTGAGCGATAGCGACTCATGTGGAGATTTTGTCTTCAGACACCAACAGTCAAGACAGTGGCAAATCTGAGACTGACGTGAGTGATCTGCGAACGTGGTGCACTATTGATTGTGGTACGCCAGCGCAGCCAAGATTTCCATTTACCGGCGCACCTGGTATGAAAGTCCACGTTGAAGGATAAAACCCAGGGGCGGACTGACCATTTGGAAACTCGGGCACTGCCCGAAGGCCCAGGGTCAGTAGGGAGCTCCATGAGATGCCCCTGGTACCTTTTTCATAGGCTTTTTTTGAGTTTGGGCAAGGACACAGGGGCTCCATCATCCTCTATTGCCCAGGGGCCCCATGAGTTGTCAGTCCGCCCCTGTTACAACCCCTTGTCGTACTTAGAATTGTTTCTTACCGATGAGGTTATTGAAGTTATCATGACGGAGACAAATAGCTACTCAGTGCAACAATTAGCTGCTCCATACAGCCGGTTTTCATGAAGCAGAAAGTGGGAACCTGTGACCAAAGAGGACATTTGGCTGTCTCTCTCGGCCTAATTATTCTACAAGGAGTGGTGGGGAAACCACTGCAGAAGTGGCATTAGACCACAAACAAAATGCTTGCCACGCCGTTCTTTGGCACAGTCATGTCGGAGTAAGGCTTTTCACTTATCATGAAATTTTTGCACTTCACAAACAATGAGGATTTTGACGAAACAACTCATCCGACTCCCAAGCTAAAAAAAATTTGGGAAGTCTCCCAAATAATTGTCAGAAATTTCCAGCAGAGCTATGTGCCAGAGATAGATATTAGCATGGATGAAAGTCTAATGGCCTACAAAGAAAGGCTCAGCTGGATCCAATATATCGCATCCAAGAGAGCACGATTTGGTGTCAAATCCTACCTGCTGTGTGAATCCTCTACCGGCTACATATGGAACACAATTATTTACACCAGGAAAGGAACAAAATTTGATCCCAGGTACAGTAAATATAAAATGGCAACATCATCCATCCTGTCACTGATTGAGCCTCTGCTAAACCAAGGCTACTGTCTAACAACGGACAATTTCTACACCTCGCCAGAACTTTATGAGGTTCTTCTGCAGCACAAAACGGATGCATATGGAACCGTTAGGGCTAAACGGCGCAAAATGCCATCGATCTTTGCAAAAAACAAACTGAAGCCTTGAGAAATAGTTGCCTGGCAGAAAGGCAAAATGATGGCACTGAGATGGCGGGACAAGAAGGATGTGTGCCTAATGAGTACCATTCACAATGCCTCCACAGTGATGGTACAATCAAAAGGTGGGAAAAACATTCCTAAGCCGCAGGTAGTTATTGACTACAATAGCACCATGGGAGGTGTCGACAGAGCTGACCAAGCTATGACATTCTATCCAGCGATGAGAAAGCAGCAGAGGAAATATTACAAAAAGATTTTCCGGCATCTTCTGGAACAGTGCTTGTGGAATATCTATATTCTGTTCTGCAAAAACAGTGGCAAGCCTGTGGTTCATGTGGACTTTATCTGGAAAGTGGCGGAATCCATCTTCCACAAACACCAAACACCATCAGTGTCTGTGGGTAGATCCGGGCAACGTGCTGTGGGAGTTTTCAACCCAGAACGGCTGACTGGACGTCACTTTATAGACCACATCCCACCAACCCAAAAAAAAGCAGCACCTACACGGATGTGTGTGGTATGTTTCTCTCGGCGAGATGAGAGTGGAAAAAAAATCCGCAAGGAAACGAGGTTCCACTGTCCTGATTGCGATGTCGGACTTTGTGCAGTCCTGTGTTTCGAAATATACCACACCCGCAGGGGCGGACTGACCATTTGGAAACTCGGGCGCTACCCAAGGGCCAGGGGTCAGTAGGGGGCCCCATGAGATGCCCCTGGTACCTTTTTCATAGGCTTTTTTGAGTTTGGGCAAGAACACATGGGCCCCATGATCCCCTATTGCCTGGGGGCCCCATGAGTTGTCAGTCTGCCCCTGCACACCCGTGATGTTTTCTAGAATATGCAGTGTCTATATAATATTGTTTGGACAGAGTTCTGTGTGTTTGATGTGATTACATTATTTAATTTATTATTATTTTTTTAATTATTTATTATATTATAATCTATGATTTTATGTATTAAACTTTATTGCACCCAGGATATCTACTAGACTCTTGTTTAAACAGATTTCAGTGAGTTATTCTTACGAATTACAGGCCTACAATAAAAAAGCAACATATTTCCATTGAAACCAATGTACTGCTTTGAGCACAGAAATACTGACATATCATTCCACTAGGGAGGTTAATACTGCTTTAATGTCATAATGATTTCCATTTTCCTCAGCTACTTGTATTTACACAATGTATTGTCATATATAAAACTAAAATAAAGAATCTGAAAACAGTTGTGTTGTACTTTAGTTATAGATCTACACACAGTCCAAAAACACTTAATTCATATAAATAACATAAAAATGTAGCAAAGTCAGCTGTTGGGTAATAATAAGCTTTACCAGAAATACTTACTGTATATATTATATTTAATTTGTAATAAGAGAGTGTAAATATTTTAAATGAATAGAAATGTTACATGAAGAGATCTGTAATAAATAGTGGGAGAAGAAGCCTTCTACAATGCAGGCTACATACATGGGGCTCCAGCCAGAAGCACTGGGTCTTTAGTACACCTAAAGGGGTGTGCACCTCAATGTGTTAAACAAAGCATATCTATAAGATACATATTGATACATAAGAAACGCTAGGACGGACAGCAGCATCACTCTCTGCTCCTACACCCAGTGTAACTGCAGGAGATGGGGGACATACACAGCGATAGTGAATATATATTAAGGAGACAGAGGTGAGCAGAGCGAGTCTGCCTATGGGTTACCCAAGTGTGCACTATGACAACTGAGGTGGTATGACTACCAGGGCCTCCACATTTGCAGAGAGCCCACAAGGGGACAATGTTTTTTCAGGACATTAGTATGTGGCTCCGGGTCAGGATCAGGCTTCAGAGCTGGTGACATGGTCCTCCCAGCACTCTCCTCACAGCTTATGGGCAGCTCAGGGCTGGCATCCTTGACCCTAGGAAGGGATTTCAGCAGATGGTTGAGAAGACGTGCACCAAGAGCTTGGTCCATCCAGTCACAGTTAAGAAGCAGGTTGTGGAGTTCATGCATACATTGGATGTATCCTGTACTGAATCTCTGCTGGGATTCCACACACTGAGAGCCTTCTCCTAAAAGAACACAGTACAGAGTATAAAATGAAAAATCACTCATCACCAGCATAAAAAGCAGTAGTTCAGAAGTCCAGACATGTTTCAATTTTGCATAGAATGGGCCAGAGTTTGATCTCCTTACTGGTTCATTGTTGGTTTCTTGACCCCTAGTTTGGTCATGACTCCTGAGGGATGAAAGTTCAGTGCTATGGAGATGCCACTAGAGTTGTGATTCCCTAAGTATGGGGCATACACCACTGATGGGAGTTGCCCTCAATATAGGGATGAGCATCACTATACAGAAATGCACTGCTGTTCAATTTACACAAACTATAGTCAATTACCAGTATTAGATACCAGAGGAAGCATGGGCCTCGATTAGTTCCTGTTGATGATTTGCAGAAGATAATGTCCTCAATAAATGCTGGCATTACAGCTGGGTGGGATATGTGCTGATTTTTACAGCATATAGGTGGTAATCAGACACTGTAAAGTATCTACTTTAAGGTGGGAAATTTTGTTGTTGCCTAAGTATTGTGAAAATTGCTCATTTGTTGCATATGCACTGTATGGAATGCCCATTTGTTGCCCATGTATTGTAAAGATTGCCTTTTTGTAGCCCATTTATTGTAAGGATTCCTTGTTTATTGTCCATGTATTGTAAGGACTGCTTGTTTGTTGCCTCTTTATTGTAGGGATTGCCTGTTTTTTTCCCCAAGTATTGTAATGACTGCCTGTTTGTTGCCCATGTATTTTAAAGATATAATGACGCATGTATATACACATACTCAAATTATACTACTTAATTGGAATAAGTTCAACACATTGGCGCTATCGCGCCTATTTTTATATTTTTTATATAGATCTGAATCAGATTGTCTTTCAAATAGGTGTATTTCACACCGTTGTTGAACTTGTCTTCATTGACATTCATCTGTCAATTATAGGGCATTCTTGCCCTTCTATCCTGTGTCTTTGAGCTCCATTAAAATGGAAGACGGAGCCATGCACATGCGCCTTAGTTATTGCACACTGGCGCATACACAACCGCGCATGCGTCATTATGCTTATATATATGCGCCTATTCGCGTCATCACGCCAATGGTTCCATACCTCTGAAGATGTGCGTGCGCACGTAACGCGTAAGGAGGAGCCTGGACGTCGAGACGCTACGCCGCCGGAGCCATGTGGAGGCCCGGCGGCCATTACTCAGAGTGTCAGGGTTAGTTTGTCTTGCTGACACATCTTTATGATACCTGCCTACTTTGAATTGGATACTATAATTTTTAATAAAGCTGCTTTTTATAACCTACTACACTATGGGTGTCCTTCCCTAAAACTCCCCTGAGGAGCTTTTGCTTGCAGAATCCTGATCTTGGAATCCTACACCTTATTGGGGAGAGGAGGATCTGTTGCTGCATCCACAGAGGAGGGATCCACCATTCCTGTAACTGGACCAGCTTTATCCCCTTCTGGATTGAGGATCCATGAGCTCTAGATGCACACTGCGTTTATGTGTCTTGCTTCTGGTGAGTGCGTTTTTCAGCCGTTTCCACACGGATCACCAATTTTGAATCCTCATTTGTCACTGGACACGTCCAATACCAAGACTTTTCAGTGGACTTATATCTTTCTTAATATCACTACTTTTAGCGCTGCACTAATTTTATGTTATTTTACAGATTGCCTGTTTGTTTTCCACATAATGTCTAACAATTATCCATTTGTTCCCATGTTTTGTAGCAATTGCCTGTTCGATTTCTGCATATTTTCATGACTAAAAATATTTTCTACCCAGGTATTGCTATAATTGCTTGTTTATAGTGCATATATTGTCAGTTTTTTGCCTACATATCATTGAGCCAGTGATGTTTCTTTAGAAGACTATTTTACTATAATTGAATCCTCTGCAAACCTGTCAATATTAATTCAACCCCATAAAAACTGCAATATTTTGCCCCGCACACATAATCAACCCTTTAAATTTGCTGCTTCTATCCACCTAATGAATATTGCTCTCTACAACTGAAGCTACACCTGACACCCCTATCTCCCTCAGAGACTTCTTTAAAGGGTTTGACTAAAGTTGAATAATACCCTTACTATAAGTGAAGGCCATTTACGTACCTTGTGAAGCCTGACTGGAAAACTCCCAGGACATTGCTAAGTGAGGCCCAGTTATTACTCTTTACCTTCCTCATCACAGGAGTAGGCTCACAAATGCTGAGCTCAGAGCTACTACATCAGAGGTGAGAAAGTAAATATGAGGTGGTTTGCATCAGAGAAAGAGCTCTCTGCTGTGATGGTGAAGGGGAGTGTTAACACTAAGCTTCTCTTAGCAACGTCCTAGACGTTTTTCAAGTCATGCTTCATGACGTGTGTAAATGGCCTACACCTATAGCAAGGGCATTCATCAAACCTGCACAGTTTGTTATCTACAGATGTTCCTTATCTGCATAGACAGTTTTTTTGTAAAAGTGAACTAACCCTTTAAAGTGTAACTCCACTTTTGAAAGAAACAAAGAGAAAAACAAATATTCTGCTCTGGGTGATCTGTATACTTGCAGGGATTTTAACACTCTTTGTTCCAGAGTCCTACCTCTTGTTATTCTGAAAAAAAAGAGATGGATGTTTGTCTGTGTCCATGTGTAGAGTGAATGAGAATGCTAGTGGTTCCTAATTATCAATTATGCACTTGCAGGGCTTTAATGAGAAAAATTGCGGGGTCTGCATCCCTTTACCCCTGGTTCACATATGTGCATGTCCTGTGCCCTGCGATTCACAGGGAAGAAGTCCCTGCTCTACTTGGGAAATCACAGCCAGCACGAGAACTGAGGTTTCTAGTACAGTTGCGATTTCCAGTGCGGGCAGCATGCCATTAGAATCAATGACACCTGCCTGAGAGTCCCGCATTCCTCTGTGCGGGTGGTGCGGCTACAGGTATGGGTGCGGGTCCCGCAGCGGCACCACAGATGTGAACCAAGGGTCAGAAAGTATTTCCCTTCAAGAGTATCTCACCAAAAATGTCATTTTTTTTCAGGGAATGCCTGAAATCTGATTTGTATCTTAGTGCAGACTTCTAGGAAAATCAGAAAATTGCAGAGCTGCTGATTGAAAAGGAAAGGTAATTTTTAATAACATTCAATTACAATATGACTTGTGCTGCAATTGTATATGCCATATTATCTTTTTTATTTGCTATTTTGTTCCCACAAAAATGGAGTTACCCTTTAAGTTTCCCAGGTCTGGTTTATGATTGTACACAGAGGAACAAAGTCTAGGAATACCTTCTGTAGAGCAATAGTGACATTGAAATGTTGACACCTAGTGGAGCAAGACTCCATTGCACATATGAAATGTGAATGTGACTTTATGTGCCCCATTAGCACAATTCACGCTATGCAATACCAAGAGTGGAATGCGGCAATTCATACTACACAGAAGAGAAAATGTTTGAATTGTCCTTCCTGCCTGCAGGAGGATGTAACTGTGTATAGGACAGAGGAAAGAACATGATTATGAACACCATCACTTTGGTCTAGCCACTGGTAGCTGATTTTAGAGCTGTCTTTAGTTGTTGCAGAGCTCCCTCTAGGGACAGAAAAGAAAAATGCTGAATACTCATGACTAGCCTCTCACCTGAGCTTCTGCTCCTCTGAATGTTTTCCAGATGTCTCACTGTCATCTCCAGAATGTCTGCTTTCTCCAACTTGGACTGCTGAAAAGACAATGCACAGTAGAGGCAATGTCAGTCTTGGTCACTTGATAAACTCCCATGGCTTTAAGTACCATCTCTATGCTGATGACACACAAATCTATCTTTCTACTCCTCACCTCACCCTCTCAGTCTCCTCTCGCATTACTAACCTACTAAGTGACATATCGGCATGGGTGTCACTCCACTTCCTCAAACTCAATCTTTCCAAAACTGAGCTCTTAGTATTCCCTCCAGTCCGTGCCCCCTCCCCTGACTTCTCCATCAAGATCAATAATACAACCATCAGTTCCTTCCCTCATGCCAGGGTACTAGGTGTAATCCTAGACTCCCATCTGTCCTTTCAGCCCCAAATCCAATCACTGTCCAAATCTTGCAGACTTCACCTCCGCAACATCTCCAAGATACGACTGTTCCTAACCTCGGAAACTACTAAGCAACTTATTCACTCCCTGGTTATCTCTCACCTTGACTATTGTAACTCCCTCCTCATTGGCCTACCTCATCGCAGGCTATCCCCTCTTCAGTCTATCATGAATGCTGCTGCCAAACTTATCCACCTTACTAACCGTTCCATATCTGACACCCCTCTCTGCCAATCCCTCCACTGACTTCTCATTGCCCAATGAATAAAATTCAAAACATTAACAATAACATATAAAGCCATTTATAACTCTGCCCTGAATTACATCACCAATCTTGTCTCCAAATATCACCCAAACCGTACTCTCCGCTCCTCGCATGACCTCCTGCTCTCTAGCTCCCTTGTCTCCTCCTCCCATGCTCATCTCCAGAACTTCTCCAGAGCTTCCCCCATCCTCTGGAACTCTCTATCCCACTTTATCAGATTATCGCCTACTCTGCTCACTAGGCGATCTCTGAAAACCTATTTCTTCAGGGAAGCCTATCCTGCCCTCAGCTAATAGTGGAATCTTCTACTACTCTTACCAGTCCATCCCCCACAGTTACTACCTTTTGTACCACTAGCCCCTCCCTCTTAGATTGTAAGCTCCAAGAAGCAGGGCCCTCCTAACCCTCTTGTATTGAACTGTATTGTTGCTGTATTGTTTCCTGTTATATTGTAAAGCGCTGAGCAAATTGTTGGCACTATATAAATCTTGTATAATAATAATAATTTTGTTACTGGTTCAAAGCACCATAGGACTAGGCTATGGATAACCTACCATGGAGGGTCATGCACTCTGTACAGTATTTCAAAGCGAAGTTAAAATAGTTTAAAGTATGTCTTAATTAACAATGTACTAGCACATTGTTATTTCTAAACTCAACATGGCATACAGTTGGGATGATTTAGTGAAGGAGCAGATTTTTTCCTCTTTTTAAAGGTGATCTGTGTTCATTTCAATCATCCAAATGTGTATTTTTTATTTCCCTTGCACATAATTGGGTATTCACGTTTGACACAGCTTCATCTCATTTACTTTGCTCAAGCTTAATGCCTAATTAGTCCCACTTTCAGTTTAATCCTATGTCATCTGGAACACACACTCTCTTCAGGGCTGCTGTAAACATTAAGGTTTCATTCACAAGGGTGGGTGCATATAGCCACTGTTGAGAATCAGAGGTTCTTGCCGTTGGAGAAAACTGTCTGCATGCAGTGTGTGTGAACAGCTGCAGCCAGTATCCTGTACAAATCAATGGCTAGCATTGCCACTGTACACAGCACTAACCATATGTAACAGCACTTCTGATCAGTTACATATGGTTAGGTACTCTGACCAGCCCTGGACACACACAGTTTGCATCCAGGGACAGTGCTTCTGGCTGCAGGTAATCATCCAGTTTGTATGCCACCATAGCGAAGAGCACTACTGGGTCTAGCAGTGTAAATTGGCCTAGAGGCGGTGTTTATCAGCATACAAATGCAGCTGCCTATTCACCCATCTGATTGAGGCCTAAAAGTAAGATCAAAGAGATGTTTATTTAGTTGAGATGAATGATACAGCCATGTGAAAATGTAAGTACACCCCATTGAAACGGTTGCATTTTTTTAACATATATGAACAAACAAACATTGTATCTTTATTTAAACAGAACCTATGGATAAAGAGGATATACTTGAATTGAATGCTAAGTTCACTTAAAAAAAAATAATTCACATTTTTTTCAGGTAAAAACAATATGCATTTATTATTATTTTCTTAGAAGCCTGCAGAGTGTTGAACCTACGATCACCAGATAATGGGTGCAATGTCAGGCTCCTGCAGACTTGCATAGCTGTCAGCCAGTACCTCCCATATGGGCAGACAGTTACTGAAGTCCAGGAAGAATCAATGAACTATGGGGGCACTGACCAGGAACCTCAGGAGTTCATTGAGAACCACATGCTGTCTGCCACTGTGGCAGACGGTACTTGTAGTTCATTCATTCTCAGAACTATGAATGAATGACACAGCCACGCCGTTTTTGAATTGTGACAGTGGTCACAGGGAGGAGGGATTGGGGATGTTCGGGGCAGGTCTGGAGCAGGTTACACATTACACCCTAAATATGGTTGTAATTTGTAACATGCTCCAGAATGTGAATTTATCCTTTAAACATTTCCTTTTCAATCATCTATTCCATAAAAATATCAATAGATGTAATGTTGTACTGTGAAAAAAAGTAAGTACATCCTTGGCATCAGAAATTACTTTTTGGAGGTGTTTTGCATAACAGCCTGCCAGTCTCTGTTTTTGATATGATGACATTTTTCCAACAGTATCTATGGGATGTACTTTTTGACATGACTGTATCCTTCACTTCTGTATGAGGACAGTTAAAACATGAAAAAAAACAAATGATGTACTGATCGATTGATTTTATTAATTTATTAATAGCAAAGCTATTAATCAAAGTGGCTCTGCCAGAATGTGAGACCTTTCTACAGTAAAACCAGCAAACCACTTCTAACAGTGATTAACATAACCACTGTAATAAAAAAATCACTTCAAAAATGTGTGTAGAATAAGTAATTATTTCTATATGTGAACAGTGTATTTAACAAATATGTTTTAATAAAAAAAAACTGGTGTGTTTCTGAATATTTGAATATTTGCCTGACTGCTATGGAAGAGAGCTCCTACTGTGCTTCCCTAAAAATAGACTCAAACACTATATTGCCAAAAGTATTGGGACAGCCCTCCAAATCATTGTATTTAAGTGTTCCAATCGCCTCCATGGCCACAGGTGTATAAAATCCAGCACCTAGGCATGCAGACTGCTTCTACAAACATTTTGTGAATGAATGGGTCGCTCTCAGGAGCTCAGTGAATTCAAACGTGATACCGTGATAGGTTGCCACCTGTGCAATAAGTCCATCCGTAAAAATTTCCTTGCTACTAATTTTTCCATGGTCAACTGTTAGTGGTATTATTACAAAGTGGAAGAATTACAGCAGTGCATAGAGAGCTTCATGGGATGGGTTTCCATGGCTGAGCAGCTGCATCCAAGCCTTAAATCACCAAATGCAATGCACAGCGTCGACACATGCCGCCACTGGACTCTAGAGCAATGGAGTCATGTTCTCTGGAGTGACAAATCACGCTTCTCTGTCTGGCAATCCGATGACGTGTCTGGGTTTCGCAGTTACCAGAATGGTACTTGCCTGACTACATTGTGCCAAGTGTAAAGTTTGGTGGAAGGGGGATTATGGTGTGAGGTTGTTTTTCAGGGGTTGGGCTTGGCTCCTTAATTCCAGTGAAGGGAACTCTTAAGGTGTCAGCATACCAAGACATTTTGGACAATTTCATGCTCCCAACTTTGTGGGAAGAGTTTGGTGATGGCCCCTCCTGTTCCAACATGACTCTGCACCAATGAACAAAGCAAGGTCCATAAAGACATGATGAGCAAGTTTGGGGTGGAGGAACTTGACTGGTCTGCACAGAGTCCTGACCTCAACCCGACAGAATGCCTTTGGGATGAATTAGAGCGGAGACTGAGAGCCAGGCCTTCTCAGTGCCTGACTTCACAAATGTGCTTCTGGAAGAATGGTCAAACATTCCCATAGACACATTCCTAAACCTTATAAGCAGCCTTCCCAGAAGAGTTGAAGCTGTTATAGCTACTATGGGTGGGCCAACTCAATATTGAACCCTACGGACTAAGACTGAGAAGCCATTAACGTTGATGTGCGTGGAAAGGCAGGCATCCCAATATTTTTGCCAATACAGTGTATATGCGAAGAACACAGGACTCCTGTGGTACATTTATAATGACAACAGATTGCCAATTTACTGCTTATTATCCATACCTGGACAATGAGCCTCATAGCCCCGGGTCACATCAAGAACTGTACTGATCATGTGTGCAAACTTAAAACATGACTTTTCTATGACAGCAGTGTATATGGCTGTAAGCTGAAAATTATGTTCACTGATTCTTCTTCAAACTGAAATTCCAGCCAAAATCTATTTTCAGATTGGGATAAAGTGGGTAAGAGTTAGAACATTTGTCAGGTTTTTATTGCTGTCTGTGTCCCTTCTGAATAGAAACAAAAGTCACAAAATTATATAAACATATTGGAATCTTGCCAACAGGAATACAAGCAAGGATATAAACTTGACAGAGGGTCTAACCCACTGTACTAAAAAATGCTTTTATTGTACTGTCTGTTCACACTGAAGAGATTCCCCTCATTTCCTTATCAGTGACTATACAGCAGGTGAATTGAATTCTCCCTACCTGGCAGAGATGCAAACACTTCTTTATTTTACCCAACACCAACCGTCATTTATTCTGCAGTAGAAGAGGGCTTGAATGTGCTTGCACATTGCTTGCAGAATACATGCAGATTTTTTTTTTGATTAGACCTTTCCTAAATCTGGCCCAATGTCTAGAGTATAAAAACTTGTGGAAAGTGAACCTTTTTATTGGTTAAAAACGATTACATTCTAGGGGCATTACTTTCTAAAATGAGACACAGTGGGGAAGATTTACTAACACTAGAGGTCACAGAATTTGGTGCAGCTGTGCATGGTAACCAGTCAACTTCTAGGTTTTATTGTTGAAGCTTAATTAAACGAGCTGAAGTTAGAAGCCGATTGGTTACCATGCACAGCTGCACCAGATTCTGTGTGTTCCAGTTTTAGTAAAAATCCCCCGCAATGTCTAGGGTAGCACAATTCTAATTACAGATGTGCAGCAAGGTACTACAGTGGTTAGCACTCTTGCTGTACATTGCTGAGGTCTTTGGTTTATTTACAGCTAGGGTCATGTTGGAAGTTTGTATGTTTTTTCCATGCATTTGTATGGCTGCCAATAGTTGCTCCAGCTTTTATGCGTATTATTGTCCATGTTTCATTGCAAGTGTCTCTTGTGACGACTGATTTGAATGGTGGTTCACTCCCTTTGTGTAATATGCTGGCAATGTAAAAATAGGAATATAGTAAATACACAAAATCATACAGTATGTATTAGATGCATTAGTAGTACATGTATAGAATCCTGCACAAAATGCTTCCCAAAATACTTACATCAAGATGGAATGCCTGGATTACAGTTTCTTTCAGTTGTTCCAGGCAGGAATTGATTCTCTCTCTTCTCTTACGCTCTATAAGTGGCTTTCTGAGCTGTGAAGAGGATGATAAAGAGTGGTCATGTGAACATTTCAAAGATTCAAGGAAAATGGGTAGACTGTACACTTATCTGCATACTGCTTCATTCTGTACACTGTGCTGTACATTCTATATGCTAAGGATTTCATCCTTTACACTGTTATGTACATTCTATACTTTACATGGCTCCACTCTATGTACTGTACATTGATTATTCCACTCTATACACCATAATATACATCCTATATCCACACTGCTCAAATCTTTACACTGTGCTGGATATTGTATACTCAACTCTGAACACTGTTTTGCAGTCTATAGTCCCCAATGCTCCACGTTATACACTGTGCTGTACACTCTATATTCTGCTGTGTACACTGTGTTGTACATTCCATACTTTATATACTCTGCTGTACATTATAGACCAAAATGTTTATATTGCATACATTCTACTGCAGAGTTGTCCCTAGGGTTGGTGTCACCCGGTGCGGTAACACTTGGTGACACCCCCTCCGACGATCCCCGCAGAATGGATCGGATTGAGCATAATGGATCGGACTCTGATCCATTATGCTCAATCCTCAGACCCAATCCATCATGCGGGGATCGTCGGCCTTCTTTACAACTTACCTTTTCTTGGAGCGGGTCCGGTGTCACCCCGTATAGATTGCATGCCGACAATCCCCGCAGGATTGTAGGCATGCAACCTATACGGGGTGACACCGGACCCGCTCCAAGAAACGGTAAGTTGTAAAGAAAGCCGATGATCCCCGCAGGATGGATCACGTACATCCTGCGGGGATCGTCTGCTTGCTTTACAACTTACCTTTTTGTGGAGCGGGTCCGGTGTCACCCCGTGCGGTCGGTGTCAACCGGTCCGGACTGCACCCCCCGCACCTGCCTAAGGACGCCGCTGTTCTACTGTATAGTACAGTGCCTGCCACTGTCTGTTTGCCCCCCTCAGACTTATCAGACACCCATATGTCACAGACTATTCAGTGCCCAAGCATCATTGGTTTATGCACCAAGTCTCTGGAATCCACAATGAAATGGTCACAGAATACCTTAGCTCTATAAGTTGCATGTTGAAGGCAATCCTTCTGGGCCCTTTTACACCATAAGACACTGTAGCACTGGCTTTAAAGTGGTATTAAACCCCAAAGCAAAATTGCAGCTTACCAATCATTAGATGTGGTGGCTGCATTTATTTTCTTTTTAATTTCCTTTATTTTCACCTGGTGATCTGGCCAGTAACCAACTTCCTGTCTTAAAGTGGTTGTAAAGGCTCTAGGTTTATTACCTTCTTGCAATCTATAGATGAAATTAAAAACTCTTCTGTGTGCAGCAACATCCCCAGCCCCCCTAATACTTACCTGAGTCCCATCTCAATCCAGCGATGTGCATGAGATCAGCGGCTCTCTGGGGATTCTTCCACCCCATTGGCTCTTGCTACTGTCAATCACAGCCAGTGACCCAATGAGGAGAGTACAGGGACAGGGACAAGCAGGGGCGGAATGGACAACTCATGGGGCTCCCGGGCTATAGGGGATCATGGGGTCCCTGTGTCTTGTCCAAACTCAAAAAAGCCTATGAAAAAGGTACCAGGGCATCTCATGGGGCCCCCTACTGACCCCGGGCAGTGCCCAAGTTTCCAAATGGTCAGTCCGCCCCTGGGGGGCAAGCCACTCTATTGTGTGAATGGACACACAGAACAGCGGCTCAGAGCGAGCCTCCTCAGATGCCCCTATAGCAAGCTGCTTGCTCTGGAGGCACTCGGCAGGAGGGAGGGTGCAGGAGCACTTTTTGCGCTATAAAAAGAAAAGCTTGACAATTTTGAGCAAAAAACAATATTTTTGACTTTTTGCTATTAAACATGTCCAGTAAAAAAAAATTAAAAAATCAAATTTCGTCATAAATTTAGGCCAAAATGTATTCTGCTACATGTATTTGCTAAAAAAAATACCAATACGTGTAAATGAATTGGTTTACATGAAAGTTATAGCATCTACAAATGGCGGTATATATAATGTTTTTTTTTAAATTTTACTAGTAATGGCGGTGATCAGCGACTTACAGCGGGACTGCGGTGGACATTCTGACACAGGGGGGAAATGACTTGGTGTCACTGACATCCCCAGTGACACCAATACAGTGATCAGTGCTAAAAAAAAAAAGCACTCACACTGTACTAATGGCAGTAGGCAAGAAGGGGTTAACATGAGGGGCGATCAAAGGGTTAAATGTGTGCTGGGAGTGTTTTACTAGGGGGCGGTGTCAATGTGCTTCACTGTAATCACACTGCTTTGGATGGCTGTGCTGTCCAAAAGCCATCCAAAGCATTGTGCCCAAGCCGACAGGGAGGAGGACTGTTAGTAAACAAAACAGTTCTCCTCCCTATTGGAGATCCTCGGAAATCGGGACCCGGTGATTGACAGCCGTGGCCGTGAATGGCAGTGCGGGTAGGGTGCGTGCACGCCCCCTACCCAGAAATGTAAAATCACGTACATATATGTGATTTTGCGCGCACTCGTGCCGCCCTGTAGCAGTATTTCTGCTATAAGATGGACGGAAGCAGTTAATATCACTTTAAGGTGTTTCTACTCTGGATAGAGGAGCAATGGAGACACCTTTGGACAGCAGCACTGTCAGACTGGGAAGAGGGACTAGCAGATTTGTTTTCTTTTAGGGATAAAAATTTGACTATTATAAGCACCCCTGTCAATGTTAACAATTTGTCTCAAACCTGTTACCATTCTTTTTCTGGACAGCTTGATCTGTTAGAGGAAATAACAGACTTACTGGTCAGATCAACAGGTAAAAAAAAAGGAAAAAAAAAAAAATAAATATACATAATGTCCCATTTACATATTTTTTTGCAACTACATCCATACACCTGTGTGAGGAGTAGCAGGAAGTGCATATGGAAGACAATTACAGAAAACCAAGGTTCAGTTCAGCACAGGGTGGATGTTATATCTGGAAACCTTTCATTCTGCATTTCATTCATACACTCAGTGCAATGCCTGGCACAATCCAAATAAGACATCATGTATAAAGTAAACCCCAGCCAAGTACACTTTACTACAAACAGATGTGCATATAAAAGTGCTCTAATGCACAGTGCATGTATCCTTACACTGACCTCATGTAGCAAAATGTCAGTACCAAGATCTGTTGTTGTTTCCCAACAGCCACAAATTAAATTGACTATAATTGCCATTTTGTGTAATTAATGATTTCTTGTATCATGCAGCTCTTTTGAAAAAGCTGAACAGTTGTTGACATCACTGACCTGTATAATAATTAGAAGATTTGGCCAAATCTGGTAGAATGCTCAGTCTGAACAAGTCTCTGTTTATTATTGCATACATAACAAATTAAAGGAAGTAAATGATCATTTACTTATTCCAAACTGCACTAGAAAAATGACAGCTGGAATCTGATTGGTTGCTTTCCTCAGTTGCAGACCAGCCTCCCTGTCTCATACTGCTGTCACTTCATTCAGTAGCACAGACACTGGGATGACTGTCACCTCTCACGTGTGTGCTCTCACTGGTATTCCACATGGGAATCTGCAAACATTTCATGTGATTTGGTACAGGTCAGGGTTTCTGCTCATCCAGGGGCCTTTATCTATTATAACCTATAATAACTGATCCCAAGACATGTCAGAAGTGGTATCTGTGGAGGGGGATAAACTCCCAGCAGCACTGCTAGACAACGGTCACCAACCCAATTACGTTTTAGCATGCAGGAATCTTTTTTTTTAGTCATGTAATTGTAATTCTCAAATCTCATCTGTCAATAACTATCACTTTTTTAAATAAAGTATCCTTATTCAAAATCAAATAAAAAATTAAATAAAAAATCCTTATTCCATAGTGTTAACTCTTTGAATTGAGTATTATGTATAGACACCCATAGGGACCAATCAGAAATCAGCTTTCAGCAGCTTTGACTGAAGACAGTACATGAAAATTCTCTACCTTCTAAGCACTTTGAATCCCCATGGAGTGCTATAGAACTACATAGTACATTAAATTACTGTGCACCTGAATTGTGAAGATATCTGGGGATGAGATATGCCTGATCATATCAAGCCATGGAGAGCCTCTCTTACCTTCCTTTCCTGTTTGGCCATGGATGGTTTCTGGGGGTCCTTGGCTCCTGCAGACATTGCAATGTGTTGATGTTCAGCAGTGACTGCACTGTGCCTCTCTATCCTCACACTGCCTGAGCTCTGATTGCTGTGCCTCTTCAACACTTTCCCGCTCTAGCATTTTATACAAGACTCTATTAGCATGTGAATTGCTCCCTCTTCTCCTTCTCTATTGAACGGTTCCAGGCACAGATGTCCAGATCAGAGTCTTTTGTTAAGCTCACCCCCTCCCCAAAATACCCATGTTACAATGTAACCCCATCACATCCAGGAATGTGCTAATTATATATCAGTGTCATGACAGATGAAATTTGAAATAAAAAGTGTGTGGCACTTACAGTTTAGCCATGGGAGACACAGACAGATACACATTCAGGAGAGAAACCACAATCTTACCTCCTGCGTCTGTCCACAGGTACCAATCTCACTTGCACTATTGTAACCCAAGTACAAGGTGGTATCAAAAAGTTTCGAGACTAGCTCTGTTTACAAGAAAGTACATTATTTATCCACAATTACACACTATCATCTTCAAAATAGTCCCCTTGCACAGCAATACAGTGCTCCCAGGGCTCCTGCCACTTCTGGAATGTGTCCTGGAAGTCTTCTTTTCAAAGCATGTCAAGCACCTTCTGTTATTCAAGCTGAATCTCTGCAATGTTATCAAAAAGGCGACCTTTGAGCTGGATCTGGAAGAGGGCAAAGTCCATAGAAACCAAATCTGGCAAGTAGGGAGGGTGCGGAAGTCAGACCATTGCAGCCTGGGGATGAACTTGGCAGCAACATGGTGAATGTTCAAATTGCACATGAGGATTACCTGGACTGTTCAGTATGACACATCGACAACGGCAGCAATGTTGTGGATTGTTCTCAATCATCATGGTCGTTGAAGTTCATCCTGATCTCTCGTCTTTTAGTGATGTTCTTCCACTGTTGAAGTGTGGGTGCCACTTAAAACACCTCTAATGACAAACATGTCATACTTACCTGCTCTGTGCAATGGTTTTGCACAGAGAATCCCCAGTTCTCCTCTCAGGTCCCCTGCCAGTGCTCTTGGGTCCTCCCCCCTTCTGAGTGTCCCAATAGCAAGCCACTTGCTATATGGGCACTCATGTGGGCTTGATCCTGAGCCCTGCTGTGTGTGTTCATTGACATGTGATTGACAGCAGCAAGAGCTAATGGCTCACTTGGCCAGTGAGTAGAGAGGAAGCCAAGAGAGTCGCTGCTCTCATGCACATTCCTGGATTGAGTTGGGGCTCAGGTTAAGTTTAAGGTGGGCTGGGGGAAGCTGCATACAGAAGGTTTTTTTTTACCTTTATGCAAAGATTATGTTAAGGTAAAACAACATTCAGCCTTTACAACCACTTTAAATAAGAATTTCATTCTTGTTAACAAAAAAATTTAAATTCCGCAGTTACAAATATTGTAGCTGCTAAATTTTAAGAAACAAAAACTTACCAGCCCATATATTCCAGCGCTGTCTTCCCCAATGTTGACTGTTTGTAGGGCTTCTGCTCTCAGATTTGGGATTTGCTTTTGACTTCCTGATGTCTCACAGCTGGCATGTAAAAGGGCAGGCAGGTGACAGGTCATCTGTGCCATATCCATCAGTACCCTGGGACAAAGCTAAGGCACCTAGTGCAGGCTCCATACATGCTCTGCATTAACTCTTCCTTTTCCGTACCTGTACACAGGTACCCAAGGAACTCTGTGGTGCTGATCTGCTCCCCTTGCCACAGGAAATGGGCTGCTCATAGAGAGAGTGCTGACAAAAGACTAAGCCCAGCCTGTATCCAGCTCCTACTCTTCTGCCAGTGTGCCATCTATCAGCTGCTCATGCATATCCAGACACACATCAGCATCCACCAGTAGAAGTCTTATCAAGCACGCGTGCCACTCTGTGCTCTGGCACTCCCTTTTACTTTACCAACGCTCCTGAGCCATTGGTGTAAAAGAGGCCTCCCTCTGCACTGCAGGCTCCATCACCAGATATGTAACACTTCTTTGTTGCAGCATGAGCCAGGAGGGGTTGTTGTATAAGATCTGGCACCAGCGAGTCCATGATAGAAGAGCCAGTGCTGTCTAGAAGACCTCTAGCTGACAGAATTCAGTGATGGCAGCTCCTCCAGAGTAGTTCCCAGGAACTGCTGACTGGTTCCCAGAGTGGGTACTGACATGAAAATGAAAGAGCAGAGCGGAAGCTCGACACTGGGTCCAGTGGGGGAAGCCATCCCTTAGCAGCAAGTTGCAGACCCAAGTGGAGGAAGCAGGGCTGATTGAAATCCCTGAGCGAGCAGTTTGGAATCCAATGAGGCAGCAGCAGGCACTGGCTGCTTTGCAGCTGTTTCTCCCTTGGTGGGTTCTCTTGGGACGAAACTCAATCCTGGATGCAGATAGGGAGTCACAGAGTGGTCCCTCAAGCTTTTCAACCTGTATACAGGCTCCTCACATGAGGCATGACCATGCTGTGGGACTGGTCCTGCAGCTTCAGGGATGTGTGCCCCAGGAGGCTGTGAGCGGGGGAAAAATGGTGGAGTCCTATATAGATGTCACTCACCTAGGCAAGAATTGATAAAGTGGGGGCTGGTACCTGTCAAATAAGGTACCCACTTCCCTCCTACAAAAAGACTGAATATGTTGTGGCAGGGGTGAGAAGGAAGTGAATGAGTGATCAGGATCAGACCTGCTTAACTAACTATTTATCAGTGTTTTGTCCCAAGATTTACACAATGGTCTTCCAAGATTCACACATTCCCCCCCCCCCCCTCCACAACTCTGCTCTCTGCATAGGCCATGTGTTGCACAGTGATGATGTCACTGCTGCTATTACAAGTTTCCAAAGGTTTCCAAAGACATTTGGTGGATATGGAGCAATACATATGTAGCATCCTCTAGTGTACTACTAGAATAGTGTAGTGTATCATAGGTAAAATCATTGTGCATGACACATGGTAGTTGTGTGAGTCTGTGACTGAGGTCTGGTTATTGCAGTTCATCGGGATGACTCAATAGGTTGTGGCTCTATCACCCCCCTTCCTGACTCTGGAGGACCATAGAACCATCCAGAAGTCAGTAAGCAGGAAAGGGTGGAGGCCTAATCTGCATATTCATAGGGGGTCTGGCTAATCCTGGGTTTGGAGAACCTGGTAGAGTGATGGACTGGCCAATAAATATGGGGAGTCAGGTGGAAGATGGAATGCTGAGGAGACTGTCAGTGACAGTGAGGGGTGCCCTAGGTCTGGGGGGGGGCAGCCTCCAGGCCAGGCCCAGGCTGGCTCAAGAGGATACCTTTAACAGTAAGGAGTGAATGAGATTGAGAGCTGGAGCTGCAGGGAGCAAAGAGGAGAGAGTGAGTACGGTAGCACTCTCTGGGATCTACAAGGGGAAAGACTGCTACATGTAGCAAGCTTTCTAAGGACAGTGTTGGGCTCAATCTTTTATGCTTGTCCCGGGTGATCTTCTGAGAAGCCAGGAGAGCTGGTAGTGCTTGCAGGCTGTGGAGCTGGGAGCAGCTCTAGGAGGGGACAGAGAAGACGTCTGCATGTAGCTAGAAGAAGTTACATTGATTTTTGAGGGCTGCTAGTTCCTCGCCCAGAAAGGGCAGCTGCTACTCATCTGCTACGACTGACTGCTTTTATGAAAAGAATAGTCCAGGATCTGCCTTTGTACATAGGAAGGAAGTGTCCCCATTCTATTGATTCAAGCCAAACTTGGCATCCCATAATCCCTATTTCCCGATCCAAGTTGAATTCCCCTAATAAAATAACAAAACCAAGCCCTTGGACTGGTCACTGTCTTTGGATGCAAGTCTGTGTGAAAAATACCTATTGCCTGGCTGTACAGGGAGAGGGTTAGGGGTACCCACTACACAATGGCCCTCACTAGGGTAGCGCTACACATATAAATAAATGTTTTTGTACCTGGAGTTCAGCTTTAAGTTTTTTTCACTTTGTACTGTCTGAATATTAAGTAGAGCAGCATAGTCTGCAGTCTTGTTATAAGAGCAGAAGAGGGATCTGTTACAGTGTGCCCAGCAATCAGGCTGAGGAGCAGGATTATCACTCTCTGGTTTCTATTCTTCACCATCAAACATTAAAGGGAAAGACCAGCCTGTGAGCTGTATAGTCCTTGTTACATTACTGTTATAAAACACTCTGTTAAGCTTCTGTCTGTGATGTTCCTAGTTCTTAAAACAATCTTGTAGGTACATAAAAAAAAGAAAAACACCGCTTACTTAAAAAACAGGGGAACTGGGCTGGTGGGAAGAGGGGCATTTGCCCTGCGGGCCAGAACTAATGATATGTTTTGGGATAGTGGCTTTTAGTGGAGACACTGCATCCTTTGGACATTCATCACAGCAGGACCTGGATTCAATGATACGTAATAAGCTTTATAAAGCCACATGATCCTCATTCAGACCAGAAATCATAGCATTTGTCAGTCCTTCATGACTTACTTTGCAGATCTGAGATATCATATGAGCAAACCATGCCCTTTAGGAACCCCCCCCCCCCTTTTCACCAACAAGCACTGCAGCACCATGGAACACACATATGGCACAGAAATCTCTCTCTAACTTTAAAGGGACAGTTGGTCATGTTTGAAACCCTATAAGCGGCTGGAAGCCATGTTTGGTTCTCTGTACGGTGTACCTGGAGTCCAGGAATCCTGCAAGCAGTTTCTACACTCACCAAATACTGCTTGCCCTCCTCTACCTTGCTGTCAAAGAACTTGTATTTCTTTTATTCAGTTCTGAGAATTATACATCCATGCCACACAGCGCTGCCAGGCAGATAACACCAAATTCTATGTTACAGGTAAAGTAAGTCATGCCATACCTCTTCCTATCCCCTCTCATGGTACGTATGGATGGAGGTTGTTGTAAGCTCTTTATTGTTCCTTCTTTTATGTCAATGGTCTTTAGCATTCCTTGGACAATGGAAGAAGGTCATTTCTCTGCTCACTATCCACTCTTTTGCTATCAATGTGTTCCCTATTAACACATTTGCATGCAGCATACCTGTTCGGCTCCTAGGTTCCCCCCCTCCCTCTCCTTGTCTCATTGC